AGGTAAAGAAAGAGATGCGAATCCACCTTGTCTAACAAGTGCAAAAATCACTTTGAATAAAACTAACTGGATAAAACCCTAGAGCAAACCATAATAAAATACAGCTCTTCAAAAAAAGCATTGATTGGGGATCAAAGGGAAAGGCCATTAAAACTTCCCGAGCTACAATGTTTCTGCATGTCTGAAAAAGAATTAGATCAGAACAAATACAGAAAATAATAGCAAGTCTGTGTTAAGCCAACAACAAAGAAATCCTTAATACTGTAAAACAAAGTCATGTCAAATCTTCTATTTTTAGAGATACATGAAGCTCCTTTCTCAATGCTTTAAAATGTATTTATAGTAACAAAAACGAAGACTTAAGATAAAAGTCAAAGGGATTATCATCAATGGTCTAGCTACACAGACCAATTTTTTTTTTGTTTCAGCTGTAGTCTTCAAATATGAAGACATAATGCTAAAATAGTTCCATAGCATTAACAATCTATTTCAACTCCACTATCTTAGCAGAGCAGATGAAGCTCAATCAGCTTTTGGACAGCCAGTCACATTAAACAGTAACACATAAACTAACAATTCCAGTGGGCTTTTGTTGTTTTTTCATGCTTTTTTTGTTTGTTTGTTTTGGTTTCCCCAGCATCCATTTCTTAATTAATTAGCATAATTTTCCTAAAGTTTACACCAGCAACAGAACAACTGTTAATTAAAAGCTGGATCCTGTCAGGAGACCAGTACAAAAAATTCAAGAATTAAGGCATGAACATTACTCACCCAACATCCACACATCAGCTGAATCACGAGAGTGCTCTATAGCACCAATAAAGTACATACAAGCTCACGTAACATAAGAAAACCTTTCCTTCAGAACAAAATTTAGAAAAGAGAAAGCAAAAACACTGGAGAAGAAACAGAGCAAGCGAGGCATGAATAACCCAACAAATGCTACAGTTCTCATTGTTCGGTTTTTCTTCTATGTTATTATTAAATAGTGGTTGTAACTCAAGTGTAGGGTTTCAAAATGCCACGTATGGGAAAGATAAGAAAGCAATAATAAGGACAAGCTATGCATAAAACAAATCCTTTTTAAATGTTACCATAAAATGTTACTACCACCCTTTGTAGATATCCAACACTTCAAACATACATTGAGCTCTGCATTCATGAACTCATTTTGTTCAGGCTTCTGCTTTTCTAGCTCACAGTACCAAGGCAGGTCCAGCAGTCAAAAGGGATGACACAAGCCAGGTTATTGCTACACAGTATTCCAGGACACACTTTGTTCTCAGCAATTTTCATTTTGATATTTCTTACACTGAGTCTCATGGTTAAACTGTTGAGAGACAGTTCAGTATTTGAAGTCTTTCAGAACACTTCGAGAGCTCTTGTGAGCTTAAGAACAGCTAAAATTAAACAGAAAGAAGTTTTTTCAACTGATTGGAATTATTTCAAATTGCTTGAACTTGTCAAGTGCGTGGTGCCATTCAGTTTTTGTGAGATCCACGTATGACTAGAAAATAACAACAACTTAATCACCCAGGGATCAACAGAAAGACAGAGAGAGGATGTCCTCCTCCCTGTAAAAGTTTTCCTTTGGTCTTGTTCTTTTAAGCGTAGCATCCTAGTCTACCTGACACAAAAAGCAACCAAACTACCTACCTACCAAAATAAATAAATGGAGTGGAGATAACGCCCAGGTTGTGCACAAACACTGCTGAGCTTTCTACAGGTACCCAAGGGTTGACATATAGGCTCTACAACAAAGCTTTGCCCTTCGGCAGGTTGCAAAGACAGGTTGCAATTTTGTCCATAAAAATGCATGTTGTACAAAACGGGTTCTGTAACACGAACTGTCAGTGGTATGCCACCATTCCACTGATCCTGCACATGCGTTCATTTCTCTGGAATGCTTGTAAGCTGGGTTATGCTTGCCCTAAGATAAGCAGACTTGCATGAGGGAAAAAAAAAACCAAAACCACAGAGTGTCACATAAAAGGTTCAGCTCTCTGCAGGAGGCTTCTTCCACAAAATGCAAGTTCCAATACAGTGCATTCCAACAGCCCCTTTTTTATTGCTTATATCACAAATATAGTATTTACAACAAGAGCTGAATATAATGGGAGTCTCCTCCTGCTTCAGTTTTAAAAAAATCAAGCATCTTGAAAAAGCCCTGCACTGCAGAAACTTGAGTTTTCAAAGACTTTTTAATCAAATAGAAGAAATAGAAATGCAACTGCTTGCCATTGTGGAGCTCAACACTTAACCTTACACATTACAACGTATTTTAAGACTGTCATGTAATATATTTTTCTGAATATATTCTAGTCTTTCTTTCATTGTGAATGTGGGAAATGGAGAACTGTGTAACGATTTCAGGCTTGAGTCCAGTTTTTGTACTCCTTTTTATCCATGACAACTATTACATGGTGAATTATGAGTTTCAATATAGATTGAATAGAGACATGACCATATCCATTTCTTTCATAATTACTGTGAGAGAAATAGTAATAGAGAGTGAATGAGGCAAAAGTGTAGCCACAGAAGGAAGATGATTTTCTGACTAAGAGGCAGGACTACTACAGAGACACTGCTGGTATGATAACTGCCTCTACCACAGATTTCCTGTGCAGCTTCGAGTAAGGTACTTAATCTTTCCATGCCTCAACTCTGTGTGGCTAAAGCAGAAGTCAAAATACTTAACTTTATAGAGATGTCACAGAAACATTTATGTTTGGGAAGCTACTGGACATTGCTACTACATGTGGGTGCCTGAAACATAGGAGAAAAATATATTTTAGCATTGACTTTGAACAGTTTAGAGAAAATGAAGCACAGCACCTCACATCAAACAAATCAAATAAAATGAACAAAATCAGCTGCTCTTGTGAGTGTATCTGAAGTACTAGGAAAGCGTGCAAGTACATCATTCTAAGTCCAGGCTGTAATAGATGGACATGCACAACAGAGCAAAAAAAGCAATGCCAGCAGCATCACCTTTCTCCTTTTATATGTTTGAGCACTTAGTTTTGAAAGCTCAATATTAGAATAACGTTATGGGTTTCTATAGAAAATATAACACACATTTCCATACATTTGCTCTGTATTAATTCAATCTCGTTTCTAAAAGTAATGCAGTACTATACAACTTAACATCATATTGATCCAGGTAACTCATGAGTCATTTTCTGTGAGCAGGTATCAATCACTTCATTGTTTACTTGCTGTTGGAAAGAAATTGATTTAATCAAACCTTGCAGTAATACATTATTGATGCATCCCAAGAAAGCAAAGTTGTAATGAACCATCAGGGCCCTAACATAAAACACTGTAAGGAGTGGCAACTTCAGCTTCAATCTTTCATTGTGATTTGCAGAGGCATGTCACTATACTGCCAAAGCTCTGTGCAGGACGACGGCCAGTCTGAGCAGCGCTATGCACTGCTCACATAACAGACTCGGGACAAGTTTTCTGTAACACAGCAAACCCCAGGAGCCTAAATAAAACCACACAGAGGATCTCATACACCTCTACCGCTTACACACAGCAAAGTATCATTTTTACTGGATGTTAGCAAATGATGACCCTCCAGGGGGGAGTGTTAGTTGATGGGACAGCACAAAAATAGGAGAGAGTCTTAAGTCCTCCTCCTCAGCACAGGCTCAGCCTTTGTTCTCCAGAGGCTCTTAAACTTTTCCACATACTGGACCACATGGGAATAGCAATTTTAATAAATACACATTAAAATTCCTTTATGTACATTTGTCAAACAAAAGACAGCTTACAGTAGCGACTGCAGCAGCCACTTGAAAGAGGAAAGTTAGAAAAGCGTTTGGTTGAATTTACAGACTTTCAAATGCAAGCTGCCTGTTCAAAGCTTGAAAAAACAAGCGCTACAGCAACACCCACTGCTACCGCTACTTAGCAAATACTGTTTTACTGTGGTTAAACTTCTCTTACAAATCTGAGAAACTAGGCAAAGGTGACAATGTATCAGAACACGCTCGCTGAAGCTGAGATACTGCGAAATGTTGCACAATGCAGAATGAACCACACCAGAATTTAGCACTGACCAAGCACATGAGAACACCTATGTACAGCTCGCAGAGACATCTATAGGTAGTGTCTGTCTAACACCTCGTAATTATTTACATAGGAGAGTAAGGCTGAACTTCCTATGTAGGAATTCATACAAGGTGGAAACATTTTTACAAGGAATGTCTCGTGGAGTGTAACTAATAGAAATACGACATCAATATCCATCGCCAAAAATAGATGCACCGTAACCACAGAGAAGTTACTTAGGGAATTATATCAGAGATGGATAAAATACAAAGTTGACATGGGTTAAAAAAATAAAAAAATAAAAAAATGAAAAGCAATATAACCAGCGATGTATCTTCCCTGCTCTGTCATCTTTCTAGGCACTGAACTGAAGCTCAGCCAGACACAAGTTTGCAGAAGACACACACAGAAACACGTACAACCACACATGCTGTACTGTGCACAGATTGTTGTAAAATTCCTAGAACGAAGAGAAACCATACACACTCGGAAACTGAAAACAACATCAACAGTGTATTCTATTACACTTAGCAAACAGTAATACAGAACCGTGAAAACAGATACAGTAGGTAAGAGGAGACGGTTTCCTAATGAAGTGGGAATTGAGCAGGTCTCTAGAGCGCCCGTGGGTTTGATTGCCCTGGATATTTCCCGGCTCAGTTGAGAAAGTAGAGAGGGTGGAGGGAAACCGGGATGAGAGTTCTCTGTCACGTCCTTGCCCCTCTCCCCTGCCCTCCTGCTCACGCTAACGGGATGAAGCAGCAATTCCCAGATATTTTACTTTTCTCTGCAATTAAACGGAGGGGTATTCATGGGATATCTGATGCACGAACTCAGAGAGACAAAAACAACCCCTGGATATTTACACACACACGCAGACGCTAAAGAAGAAAAGAACAGGCATTTCCTCACGCGCACGTTGCCGAAGGGACGCTGCTATTTCTCCTCTCCAGACGGGGACAGGAGGAGAGCAGAGGGCCGGGCTCAGCCTCGCACAGCCCGGCAGGAGCCGCGCACCCGCTGCCGCCCGCCTCCGGCACGGGCAATGCCTCCCTTGAGCCCTCGCAGCCCCACCGGCAGCCCCGCGGCCGAACACACCGCCTCGCGGCCGCACACTCCCTCGCACGCGCTCCCCGTCCCTCGCGCTCACTCGCACACCTCCTCCTTTACACGCTCACACACTTTCGCACACTCGCGTGCAGCTCCGTGCTCTCACGCTCTCCCTCACACCTTCGTGCACTCCCCCCCACACACACACACACGCTCCGTTACACACTTCCTCCCTCGCACACGCGCTCCCTCACTCACACACTCCTTTGCACGCTCACACGCAGACTCACGCACTCCTTCGCACACTTCCGCGCACCTTCTCGCACTCCCTCACTCACACACACACACACACTCCCTTGCACACTTCCTCCGTCGCACACGCACTGCCGCCCTCTCGCGCTCCCTCCCACGCCCCAACGGCCGCCAACAAAGCGGCGGCGGGACGCGGGCGGCGCGCACACAAGACGCGCACACACAATGCTGCGCGGCACCTACCAGGCGGGCAGCCTCGGCCCAGGTGCGGTCCTTCTTCTTCCTCTTGTCTTTCATGTTTGCATCTCATTGAGGTGGTTCGGTGGGGGGCGGGGGCGGGGGGAGGGCGGACCGGGGGGACGGGAGGAGGGAGGGAGAGGGGGGGGCCCGGAGGGGTTCCGCACGGACAATGATACGTTGATACCGAACGCCGGAGCCCCCGGGGCGGGAGGGGCGGGGGCGGAGGAGGAGGAGGCGGAGGCGGGGGAGGAGGGGGGCCGGGCCGGCTCTGCTCCCCGCCGCGGCGGCTCAGCTGACAGCTTGAGGGATGCTCCGCTACGCTCACAACAATGCACTATGACGTCACGCGGGGGAATGGCGCCGCACCAAACGTCCCCCCGCCGCCGGCGGCCGCCCTCGCGAGGAGGCCGCCCGAGAGCAGAGCGCGCCCGCCGCCAAGCCTCGCGAGAGCGGCCGCGGCGCCTCTCTCCCCCCCTGGGCAGGGGGCGGCGGGGAGGGGGCCGGACTACAACTCCCGTGGTGCCGCGCGGCGGGCGGACGGGGCGTCTCCCCAGGGACGCGAAGGGCGCTGCCGGGGCGGGGTCGCCGGGGTCGCTTGGTACCCGTTGGCGCCGTCCCGCGCCCTGCGTCGCGGCTCTTCTCGGGGGCCCCTTCCCCACCCGCCCGCCCGCCCGCCGGGCGCCACTCGCTGCGTTCCCAGCGCAGCCGAAAATCGGGGCCCGGCCCTTCCCCGCTGCGCGATCTCCTCGCCGGCGCCTACTCACTGCTCGGGGTTCGGCGGTTGGTCCGGGCGTTCCGGGCGGGCGGCCGCCCCGGGCTGCGGGTGCCTGCGGGGCTCCCGCCTGCGTCCTCCCTGTTCCTCTAGCCGTGTCGAAATTGGGCACGGGAGCCCCCGCCGAGGAGGTGTGGGTTCAGGAGGAGCCGGTGGCTGCGGGGCTCCTGTCGGAGCGGGTAGAAACCCTCCGTTCTGTTGCAGGATAAACAAAGGAGTTGGTGAAAGCTGGGTTGGTAAAAGCCTGAAGGATGTTCTCCTTTATTGGATGCCTTAGGATTAAGATGCCCACAACGTGGAAAGCTGTGGGTTTAACACACCTTCCTGAGTTACAGGATATTACGGTGGGGGCTTCTCCCCTATCTCCTCCCCTCCCCCAGCCGTTAAACTACTGGGGGAATACCATTGAAACATTGTGGTGTTTTTTTACTTAGACTGAAATGAATTTCAAATTCTTTAGGCTTTGTGTGTCCATCTGGTCAGTGCTCGTGCCCTCCTTCATCCCTCCCCAGCAGCACTGCTGGTCTGCTGGCATCCATAGTAGTAAAACTATAATTTCCCATCCAATGCACAATTCACTGGAAAAACAAACAAACAAATCAGTCCAAAGAAGCACAACACTAAGGTTTTCTTACCTAGAGAAGGACAGAGCAGCCCTAGAGGAAGCAGCAGAGGATGCCTGATTGCCCTTGCAGAGCTCTGGCATTGCGTGGGGCTCCAACCTCACAATTGTCCCGTTCTTTTTCCCTGTCTTTTACAGCTGGATGTGATCTGTGGAAGGTAGTTCATCGCCACGGAACCTTCCCAGATTTCGTAACACGTTTTCACACCCAAATGAAAATAATTAATGAAACAAAATTCTATTAAAACAGTTGCATCTAGATTTTGTTTTGATTCCAGGCTGTCCAGAATCAACCAGAGGATTTGGAATGCCTAGGAAGTGTTTGAGAGAAAAATGTTGAAGCTGGACTGCTTCAGGCTTGAGTTTGCTTGTGTAACATTTAAAATCATTCAGTTGTAGGAACAGCTCTGTATTCCTTAACTTTATTATTTACTGAGTATTTTTTGTCACCTTAGTAACGTCTAGAAAGGAAATGCTCACTATTAGTATAACTTCTTTGTCAACGCTTTGTTTCTTTGTTTTGTGCCTTTTATATCTCTGCCCTACTTTTTTTTTTTTCCTTCCTTTTGCATTTCCTCGCCGTTAGTAATTTCCTATTCCTTTATAACATGGGCTTCATTCACATCTCCCCCGTGCTAACACCTAAGTTTTTAGTTGTTAACTACTTCAATAAAGCTGCCTTTGAAATACTGTCACTGTTCTCAATGTTGAAACTAGAACGAAAGTAAAACAGCACAGTGAGGTTGATCAGTCACTCTCGTTATACATGGCTAAAATAAACATTTCTGTTAGTTTCCTGCCCGTTTGCAGATAGGTGATGATGTGGCTGTTGGTCTGGTTGCTTCACATACATAACATGAATTGAATTTCCCATTTCTGAAGAGAGCTTTGGGCTTGCAACAGTGGTATTGGGCAGAGGAGGATATTTCTCGAGTAAAGAGAAGTTTAGGGACCCTTTAAATCTTAGGGGTTTTTAGTGGTTTGATTGGTTTGTGCTTTTGTCTGCTGTAACCAGGACCACACTTTCTGGTATTTCTGTGGATGCATGTAATAGTTGTTATGGTATTGCATCCTTTCTATTCAGCTACTGCAGAAATGGGACCAGTTTCTGTGCTGCTATTGAATTCATCTGCATCATTCCTACAAAGTCCAGGTGCTCCTCAGTTCCTTTGGTTGTTCAAATGCAAATGGTTGGAAATCACATACTTAGTGTTCCTGACCTTGCTGGAGAAAGAAAACCATTTACACTGTATGATGTATCTGAGCAAAGAGCTAGTGTGCATTCTGCATGCCCTTTCCTCATGATAAAAAAGAAAATGAATCCATGCCACTGCAACGAAAGAATTCTTTCTGCAATACATGTTGTAGCTGAATTTTATAAACACTGCCAGCGTACTAGAAACAAAGCAATCAACAGCACAGTGCACTGCTGCTTTGAGGGTGTGAAAAATCATGTCTAACTAAGACTTGAAGCACAGCAGAAAAAGGTCAAATTGAGCTTATAGAAGAAATGATTTCCTATTGATTATAAATAGTATTTACTGCTTGAATTAGATCTGACACTAAGGAGATTGTAACCATTGCTCTAACTGAACTGACAATCACAAAATCAAGAGTGAGAAGTGGTGAACAGCATTCAAGCTGCAACCACTAGAACTATGGCTGAAAGCTCAGCATACGTAGGGCATATCTCAGAGCCATGATCTCAGGGAACTGTATGCATGCTTGAATGTATGACAAGTGTGACTCTGTATAAATATTGAAGAAAGGTGTTAGATTCAAATATACCATTAAATTCTACGTAAGCAGTATTTATGTGAAATTACAGTGCCAGATGTTACTGTACTGACTGTGGATGGAAGCAGTTATTTATTATGAATGCATTTGTGTGTGCTTACCTTTTCTTTCAGGATAATGTAGATAAGCTACTAAAATAATACTGGCCACTGGCTTCTGCATTTCAGTATTCAGTGAATGCATTTCCCTATAATGCTATAGAAGTTCAGCATTTGACACATCTAGTGAAAGTACCTGAAGAACAACACTGTTGTTTCCTGCATGTGAAAATGACTTTTGATACATATTGCTGAATTCTTTATTGTGTGCAATAATACTCCTTCCAAGTAGAAATCTGTAAACTGCAATAAGTACGCACATTCATACTGGCTGCAATGCTTCAGTACAACCAAACATTTCTGCAACACAGATTCCAGTTTCAGCTGTTACAAAAGAAATAGTATCAACTATTACATGGAAATACCAGATGTGCAGAAGGGTTTATTCACAGCATGAAAATTCAATCTAATGTGCTGCTATTACAATGGAAATTATATCTTCCACAATTGAATGAGAGATGCTGAGTCACAAGATAATTTAAAAAATAGCCCAGAATGATGCTAATGAAGACACTGCATTTTCTGAATTAATTTCAGCGCAGTGGTGACAAAAATCAAACTGAAGTACTTGTTTTTCTATGGACCTAAGGAAGCCAAAAAAAGCCATTGTGATGGACAGTTAGCCATTTACAAACAGTGCTGTATTTTCTGCAGAGTATGTTTTCTACTCCTGCTTTAAAGAACACATATTACCAAGCATTCAGAACGCATGAGGTTCACAGCGTTTCTTACACCTAATGGACTTTTCTCTTTTGTTCATATGCCATATGGCCCAGAATCAACATTCAGAGTTTTTCAAATATGCTAATAATTCTTAATAACAAGCTTGGAATCTAGTATTATCTGGATAATATTACTGTATTTGGACAGACTCCTTAAGCTCATGAAAAAAAAACCACCCTACAGGCTGTACTTCAACATGTCAATACAGGAGGGGCTGAAGCTGAATTCTGCTGAATGGTAAACAAGGTACACCACGTAGTCTTTTCTTGGGCACGGCATTTTTTCCATAGCTTCTGAAAGAGGTCATAGAACACATGGAAGAGCTCACCTTTCTTTGGAAAGAATAAAAAATAATTTTAAAAGAGACAAGCACATTTTTTTTCAGGTTTAAAATCAAGATATACTTGTCTGTTCCTGACCATTGAAGGGTTGTAGAACTGCTAAGAATAGTAAGTCATAAACCCCAGCTTTACCCTATATCTCATAGCTGACTGTCTACCAGTGAAAGCTTTGGCTGTAAGCAGTCAGAAGTTCCGCTGCTCACTTCAGTGTTTTTTTTTCAACTGTGTACAATTGTCATTTCTTTTGTCTTAGACCAGGAATGGCCACCTATTGTGAAGTTTCTTTTGCACCCTTCTAGCCCTCCAGAGGCCAGATAAAGGCTTAGGCTTCTTTTTGTAGCATCACAGCTGACCTAACAAACCCAGGCATAGCTAACCAGGGATTTGCTTTGTCATCCCATCAAATTTAAGGTGGTACAGCATGGACAGCACACCAAGCAGCCACACTGGAATTACACTCGGATTAATTTCCTTTTCCAGGCAGCACATCCCTGGGCCATGCTGCCATCATTCTTTCATACTACGAATATGGGATTGCTTTTACTCAAATCCATGGGGACAATTTCTATGAGAAGTCCACTGTATGTGAACCAAGAGCATTTACACTGTATCATAAAAGTGTGAGAAAGGAAACATTTCTTTGTGCATGCACTACAGAAGAGAACTCCCGTC